ATTAACATATCAAAAAACAGGATGTTACATCATCACAAAACTGTAATCGAAAAATAAAATTTGATTACATTTCTTAAAATAACAACAAATAGATGGAATCCTAGAATTATTGAACTGGACATATTGTATGAGAAGGGGTTCCAACTTTAAGAAATGTCATCTTTATAGAGATATTGCCTTCCGTCTTGAGGCCAACCTTCACCAAATTAAATTGAGATGCTCTAAACCTCTCTCACTCTCGATACTCTTAAGCAAATTCTCCATATCCATGTTACCATATAACTTAACGTCATGTTCAGAGGCTCCAATAACTTTTATCACCAACCTCATCAAACACCTCTCTACATAAAACAACCTGTAATACTCATATAGCAATGCCAATCCTTTGTCCAACACAATACCAACGTTCATCTCATAAAAAACTATTGAATTTTCAAACTTCTCTACCCTATAATGTCCACTAATTTTCTTATCGGGAACAAGCGAGATGTAACTTGTCCTAACAGACTTGGAATTGGAATCCTTGATATTTTGAATGGCTTGCAGGTACTACAACCCAACCAATTTCATATCATGTGATCCTCTAGTATAGATATTGCCATCTTCGGGCTTGATAGCAGTATTAAAGGTTGGATTCGACAAGGATGACATACTTATGGGAATTGAGGAGAATGGAAAGGATGTCTCGTTTTTTTAGACCATCAAATAAGGATTAAGGTGTAACATTCCATTTGAAATTAAATTAATAATAAACTCTAGAAACCCCAAGATGTAAATTTTTATTATTATTTTATATTATTGTAGCCAAAATCAATAATAATTTAGCAAGGTGTTGGCTTCAAGGAGTTAAATGTCATAATTTTGGATTATGGGGGTTAAAAGTGTAAGTTCCGGATTGGTTTTGTAAAGATTTTCATAAGTCAGGAGGTGTTTGGTAAATATTGGACTTAAATTGAAAGGATTTTGGAGTGCTGAGGGCTGAATGGTAGTTTATGGACTTTATTTGAAAAGAATAAGAGGGTGAGGGACTGAAAATGTTAATGTGGTCAAATGTTGAGATTGGATGGAAGCTTATAACCCGTCACCTTATCACTCTCAAACCCTAACCCTAAACTTTGGTAGCCGCCACCTTTTCCCCAGTCGTCATCGCCGCAGTTGAGCTCGCCGCCATCACATAGCCTCGCATGGACGACCAAGCACCACCATCGTCGCTTCTATCGTTGGTGAAGTCGGGGACAGAGCTACAACCATCATGAAGATCGTATGAACCGGGAGTCGTGGCCACTGTGGTTGTTTTCCGGTGAAGGCGCGACCACCATTTCCTCCGCCGCACCCACCACAATTGAAGACGAAGACCGCTTTGGGGCGTTATGGCAGCAGTTGATCGGAAGAAGCCATCTACGGGCGTCGTTGTTGCTGTTCCCGATGGGGGATTGACCGCCTTTTCTCTCCTCTAACTCGTTCTGGTAACGCGTTGTTGCATCGCCGCCGCCGCTCCAGCGGCTGTTCCACCCGTTGCCGTCGCCGTACGTCACCAGGTGGGTGGTTGTGTTTATTTTTCGGGCAAAGATGTGTGTGTGTGCTTCTGCTGCTACTGTGCATGTCGTGTGTATCTTTTGCTTGGTCGACCATCATAAGAAAAGCCATCACCACCACCGTGAGGTGGTGGCTATCACCTCCGACCACCGTCTGCCGCCATAAGGGTGGTTGAGCGCATGTGTGTGTGTGTGTTTCTTTTGGATATTATGTTGTATAATCGTATTTTTGGCCGGAATAATCAAGGAAATCCGTCACCACCACTGTGAGGAGGTGGCTGCCACCTCACGCCGCCATTCTGTCGCCACCTTGGGTGGTTGTGTGATCTTAAGTGTGATTGGACTGTTATTTGGGATGCTTTTTGATGTATTTTGGTCTAGAATCATAACCACCACCACCACGAGGTGGTGACCGTCGCCGTGAGCCGCCGTTGACCACCACTACCCGAGGTGGTAGTGGGTGGTGCCCGACTTATTAGACTCTAATTAATGTAAAAACTTAACCATTTGACAAATTGGCTTGTGATTGGGTTGGAAACCCTAATTAGGGTTTAGAAAACCCTAATCTTGGAGATTTTAGTATGGACTTGTCGGGACCCGCGTTTTGGACCATTGGATTGAAGTTATAACTTATACCTAATCATATTGTATGGTTGGCTTAGTGGGGTGATGGACTTAATGGATTAAATCCTTAATGGGTTAAGTAAGAACACTTAAACCTAATCGTCATTTTATGTTAAAAACCCTAATTAGGTTTGGGTTCTTGTTGGGCCATTTCTTGGACTAAGTTGTTGTGGGCCTTCCTGGGACAATTGGGAACAGGTTGATGGACTAATGAAATTATTGGGCTTTAGGATAAGGCCCATTAGAAAGGCTTGGGCCCAATTTGGAAAATTGGGCCATAAGTGGGCCATAATTGGACCATGATGATTATAAGATATTGGACCATCGGAATGCCAAGTGTTTGGACCAGAATAAATGGTTGGGCCTTAAGGTAATATCATGTAGAGGTTTGGGTCCAATTTGGAAAATTGGGCCATATGATGGGCCTTGTTGATTATTTGGCTTCTAGGCCTTTAAAGTGTGAGTTTGGGACCTGGTTTTGAACCAAGTTAGGTTAGGGCTAAAATGGTCCATTTACCCCAAGTGTGGATTTATGGTTATGCATTGAAACCCAAATGGTTAATTGGGTGTTGTTTTGATATGGACAGTTCGAGAGTCTGTCAACCAACAGCTAGAATTTTATTTGCGGAACTTCCGCAGTATGAGGTGAGTCTCCTCACCATACCAATGGGTCGAAGGCACCAAGGCCGACCCAATTATCTAGTTGTGATGATTATTGTGGATGTGCTATCGATACATTATGTATTATGTGAAGACCATGTGGGGGTTCCCATGGCAATTAGTTATACGTGGTATGTTAGTTGATTATGTGGTACGTGGTATGCTAGCTGTCTTTATGATACTTGCATGGAAGACCCCGGGGGGTTCCCGAGACAGTTGGATATAAGACCATGTGGGGGTTCACATGGCATTCCAGGCTAAGACCATGTGGGGGTTCCCATGGCAACAGGCTAAGACCATGTGGGGGTTCCATTGGCAACGGGCTAAGACCATGTGGGGGTTACCAAGGCACCCGGTGTAAGACCTTGGAGGGTTTCCAGGGTATTCTTATATGTTTGTATGTATGGTTTATATGGTAGTTGGTGAAGACCATGTGGGGGTTCCCATGGCAGTGAGCTAAGACCATGAGGGGGTTCCTATAGCACCCGGAGTAAGACCTTGGAGGGTTTCCACGACTTCCTTATATGTTTACATGCATGGCTTATGTGATTGATATGGTTTATGTGATTATGTGGGGTATGCTCTGGGGAACTCACTAAGCTTCGTGCTTACAGTTTTGCTTATGGTTTTAGGTATCATTGGTTTGGAAAGGAAGGATCCGACTTGATCGCAGCGCACACACCCGTGTTTCCGCAATATGTGATTTTGGGACGAACTCTGATAAATGTTTTTAATTAACAATGTTTTGGAATGCTTAGATTTAGAAGATATATGTGTTTTGACTATAATAAAAATAAAATTTTTACCCTTGATTTTTGGGTCGTTACATAAGGGTTTGTTTTTGGGCAAACCCTATGGTATGAGATTCGAGTGAGAGATATTTAAACTCGAAAAAAATGAATATTGTGGCATGATGGTAGTAGGGTGGTAGGTGTGCTGTATTGATTTGAAGATATTGGTGGAAACTTGAGACAATTAACTTTTCAACGAAGGTGAATGTGGTTTGTAACAGAAGGGAAACAAAGATGAAGTAAACGAGATAAGGGAGTCCATTGAAGCTCACCACCATCTTCACGTATGATCATCATTTGGTAAAGGACTTAATGGGTGATGATTTGAACTTAAATGACTAAATGTTGATTTTTTTAAACTCGAATGATCATTTAAGTCAAAAGTCTTTGAGGTAATGGGCAAAAACCAAGAGTAGGAGGTCATACGGGAAAATGAGAACAATAATGAAAGTTCAACGACTTAATTGTCCTCATTTGAAATTATATGGCTAAATAATGACATTTTTATTACTTCAATCTTTCATTTAAGCCAAAATTCCTTTTTTAAACCTAAACATTTAATGATGTGATTGTTGCAAATGTTTGTTTGTTACCATATGCTAGGAGTGTTCGTTTGGATAAATTCGACCCGATCCGATCTAATGAATCCAAATTGATTTCAGTTTTCAAAATAAGAATTTAAATAAACAAAACTAAATTTTTATCCGATCCGATCCAACCAAATTACCATTGAGTTGGATTGGTATTTAAACATTAGGTTTTTAAAAAACAAGATATTTTAATAAATACATAACTTAAGTATTAACCCACTCCAGTAAAAAAATTAAAAACAATTATTTAAATAGTTATGAATTAAAATTTATAAACAAAAAGAATATATCATTTTTAGTATTTTATAGACAATTTTTTTTATATAAAAGGTTTGTATTAAATTTATATACATATTAAAGTTGGACAATGCTAAGGAATAGTGACCTTCAACATTTTTTGTCACAAATGGTCCTTTGTTTTAGTCTGTCTTTCCTATTTTGGTATGGAATGTAAGTTTTTGTGGTTTTCTCTGTTTTTGCTATTTTGGAGGGTGCTGTTTGACACTTTTTCTAGACTTTGTTTGCGTTTCACCCACGTGTTTCGTTTAGGGTTCCTTTGCCGTTTTCCTATCCATTGGGACTTTCCCTGCTGTTTTTTTTTAATTAATTTCTTATTGTTTTTTTATTTCCTTTAATGTTCCTTACGATTCCTTTTCTTCTCTGTTTTTGACCTGCTCTTTGCTTTCTTCTGTTTTTTTCTGTGAGGTCGAGGTAAGATCTCCCGATTGTCTTCTACGTCTTGCTGTTTTCGATTCGGTCTTTTTTTTGTGTTTTTTTTTGTATTATATATATTTTTTGTTATGTATGGTCAACGTAAACGGGGGTATGGTGTTGTTAGGTCGTCCTCTTCTGGAGCTGGACTTGCTTCTTCTTCGGCTCTTGCTGTTGCTCCTGTTTTTCGGCGTCCTCAGCTCTCTTCACGGATGCGTTCTGCTGGTGTTCTTCTGAATTATGTTGATTTTGGTGATTGTGATTGCGTCTGTGAATATTGTGGTGCATATTTTTGGTTTGTTGAAAGGAGTTTAAAATTGTCTACAACTCATCATCCTAGATATGGTCGTTGTTGCAAGTCTGGTGATGTTATTCTCCCTTATCCTTCTTCTTTTCCACCTGAATATGTTGCGCTTTTTCATAGCGATCGTTTTTTGAGGGATATTAGAGCTTATAATAGTATGTTTGCTATGACGTCTTTTAGGGCTAATGTTGATGAGGAAATAAACGATGGTCGTGGTCCGTATGTGTTTAAGGTTTCGGGACAGATTAGTCATAAAATTGGTTCGTTCTGTCCTGATCCTACGAAGGGGCCTAGGTTTCTTCAGTTGTATCTCTTTGATGCTGATAATGAGGTGAGCAACAGGTTGACTGCTTTTCCGAATCGTAAAAGAATTGATTTCGATGACAATATAGTTACGTTTCTGGTAACGTTTTTGAAGGACAATAACGAATATATGCGTACATTTAAGAGTGCTAAAGACTTGGCTAATGAGATGAATATACCATCTTATTCTATTTTTTTGTTTAATGATGTCTCTGACCGTAGGTATGCTTTGCCTTTGCCTGGATCCTTGGGTTGCATTGTTACTGGTGACGATACAAATGTTGCACGGTATGATATTGTTGTTCACTCCAATTCTGGTTCTCCCCAGCGTATTAGTAAGCTTCATCCTATGTACATGCCTCTATAGTATCCAATTTTGTTTCCATATGGTGAGTCGGGTTCGTCTCCACGTTTGAAATTGGGTAATCGAACTGGTGCAGATGCAAGAAATCTTACCGTTAATATGTATTATGCTTATCATATTCATTGTCGTCGACACATATGGTCGACGATTTTGAATTCATCTAGACTCTTTCAACAGTATTTAGTAGATGCATATACCTGTATTGAGGAGGGACGCCTCGAATATATTGCAACACATCAGGATGACCTTCGTTTAGAATATGTTAGCGGTTTATACGATGCTCTTTCAAAGGGTGATAGACTGTCTCGCTCTGTCGGGAAACGCATTTTCTTACCGTCATCTTTTACGGGTGGTCCTCGCTATATGTATAGCCACTATCAAGATGCTCTGGCTATTTGTAGGGTATATGGCAATCCACAGTATTTCATTACATTTACATGCAATGTGAAGTGGCCAGAGATTACACGTTACATGGATGTGTTTGGTCAGACAGACCCCCATAGTCGAGCAGATATCGTTGCAAGAGTTTTTAAGATAAAGGTTCAGTCATTCATACAGTTTTTAAAGGAGGACAAGACTTTTGGAGAAGTTGATGCGTGTATGTTTCTTTTTCCTTATTGGGTGATCTATATTACATTTTTTTGTTTATTATTTCAATAAAATAGATGATATATATTTCAATAATACTGACAAGTTCATTCTTTTGTTTTTGTTTGCAATTACTATTGTTTACTGTTTGTTGCCTGCCTGTCCGTTTTCTATTGTACATGTGTGTATAAATTGTTTTACTCAGTTTATTATTATCTATTCCATTTTGTCTTCTGTTTAGCAATTAATATATTTTCTTTTTTTTCTGTAGATTTGTATACAATAGAATTCCAGAAAAGAGGTTTGCCCCATTGTCACACCTTGATTTGGGTCAACAGTGCGTATAGTATCAAGACGCCAGAGGAGGTGGATACATATATCACTGCTGAACTGCCGGACCCTTTGACAGAGCCTCGACTCTTCGTGGTTATAACAACGTGTATGATTCATGGTCCATGTGGTTTACTAAATGAAAAGGCCCCATGTATGAAGGATGGTAAATGTAACAAGCATTTCCCAAAGCCTTTTCTTGCCTCTACCCTTTTCGATGCAGATGGTTATGTCCGTTACAAACGCGGATCGTCAGTTCGGTACACAACACCACGAGGGGTCATCATAGATAACGGATATATTGTCCCCTATAACAAAAGACTTTGTTCTCGATTTGAAGCTCACATAAATGTTGAATACTGTGGGTGGAATATGATGATCAAATATTTGTTCAAGTATATTTCAAAAAGAGTGGATCGTGTCAGGTATGTTATTCAGAAAAGTGAAGAAACGAATGATGTTGGAACGGGTAATCAGATGAATGAAGAATTACCTTCTGTACCGCCGACTGATCGATCTATTAATGAGATCCAAAAAATTTTAGATGGCAGATATATATGTCCTCATGAGGCAGCATGGCGAATATTCGATTTTCATATTCATCATCGATATCCACCGGTCCAGATTCTAGCAGTCCATGAAGAGAATACGCAACAGATTGTGTTTAAAGAAAACAGTACAATAGAAGAGGTTCTCCGTAATCCTTTTGTTACAAGGACAACCCTTCTTGCATGGTTTGATAGCAATGCGAGAGACAAAACAGGTCACGACCTCACATATATTGATTATCCAAAACAGTACAAGTCGGATGTTCCTTCTAAAACATGGGATCGTAGGGCGGATGATTCATCAAAAATGGTTGGCCGTCTTGTGTTTGTTCATCCATCGTCTGGCGAATTGTTTTACCTACGAATGTTGTTGTGTCATCAAAAAGCTTGCATATCTTTCGAAGACCTGCGTACTGTCTCTGGCTGTCTGTATCCAACCTTCAGAGCTGCCTGTAATGCATTAGGGATAATAGGGGACGACATTGAATGGATGACTGCATTCAATGAGGCTTCCGTTTGGGCAACATCGTCACAGCTTCGTTCCCTTTTTCTGTTATTTATTACTGTTCTGTGAAGTCGGTGAACCAAGACGTTTGTGGGAAGAAGCATATGGAAAAATGTCGGATGATTATCTGTACAACATAAAAGCAACACTGCCGGACAAGAATTTCTGTGTGACAGATGATGTTATTCGTCAGCAGTTGCTTTACAAATTGGAACATACCCTTCGTTCCTGTGTGCCTTCGAGATCACTTGCTAATTTTGACTTACCAATGCCATCTTCACGTGGCCTTTCTATCTTGCAGAACCGTCTGCTTCTTGAAGAACTCAGATATGACAAGAACGTATTATCTAATCAACATTCTCAGCTTCTTTCATAGCTAAATACGCAACAGATGTCAATCTATCAGAATGTCGTTACATCCATGAAGGCGAAAAAACAGATTCTGATGTTCGTTTATGGTCATGGGGGTACCGGAAAGACCTTCCTGTGGACAACCATTCTTGCGTATTTTAGATCGATAGGAAAAGTTGTGTTGACAGTTGCTGCATCCGGGATCGCATCCTTACTTTTGCCCTCTGGAACTACGGCACATTCACGGTGTAAGATACCAATCGACCTAACCACTAAGAGATCATGTGATATAAAAAAGAGAACGTTGTTGGGTGATCTTATGCAGCACACATCATTGATCATATGGGACGAAGCGCCGATGAGTGATAGAAGATGCTTCGAGTATCTCGACAGATCTTTACGGGATGTACTAGACTGTAATGAACATGCTTTTGGTGGGATTTCTGTTCTTCTTGTGGCGACTTTCGGTAGACCCTTCCCGTCTTGCCAAAAGCCACACGGTCCCAAATTGTTGACTTTACATTGCCAAATTCGCATTTATGGAGCCTTTTCGAAATTCACATGTTGACACAAAACATGAGGTTACTTTCAAACATAGATAATGGCACGGATACACCCTCAATGACCATCTTTGCTGAATGGCTGCTTCAAATTGGCGATGGGTTGGTTGGACAGCCTGATATAGATGATCCACACGACACCTCATGGATAGAAATCCCATCCTCATTACTGATACCACCAGGCTCCGATTCTCTCCAAAATCTCATACACTTTGTATATGAAACTAACATGCTCAACAATCCCACTGCGACCGATCTGTCAGTCCGGGCAATCGTTTGTCCAACAAACGAAACGGCTGACATGATAAATACTATCATCCTCAAAAAAATTGGTACGAACAGTAAGATATATAGCAGTACGGATAGCATGCAACCAAACGGAAAATATACATCGGATCTAGAAGGCCTCTATCCTATAGAATACCTAAATAACTTATCATTTACAGGGATACCACCTCATACACTTGAGCTAAAAATAAACACGCCCATAATGATGCTGAGAAACATCAATCAACGAGAAGGTTTATGCAATGGCACCCGTCTTATTGTCTCACAGCTGTTACCAACTGTTGTCGAAGCAACCATAATAACGGGAACATGGACAGAGGGTTTACATTCCTCACATAAAATTCATACATAGGCCATCAGATCTACCCATTACCTTTTCACGAAAACAATTTCCAATTAAATTATGCTATGCTATGACCATCAATAAAAGTCAAGGGCAGTCACTCAAAAAAATTGGAATTTATCTATCACAACCGGTTTTTTCACATGGACAATTATATGTAGCATTGTCCAGAGCTACTTCTCCTACTTCATTAAAGATTCTCATAGAAACAAATGAAGCCAACAGACACAACCAAACAAAGAATGTTGTATATAAAGATCTACTACGCAAGGTCACTCCAAAAGAGGTCTATCGTATCACTGCCATATACCCTTTCCGTATACATACTTATACAGTCTATGTTACCATAATTGAAACCATTAATGAATATTTATACCTATTACATGTATGTTTTCCTTTATGTTACCGAATTATTTGCTTTTGATCCGCCTATAATGTTCACCTACAGTGGACAATTACTTACATACTTTTAGTCTTATCAGAAACGAAATACAGATCATGGTTACCATATCTGATCTGAAATGCGATGGCGTTGGAGCCCCTATACAGGTTAGAATCCTTCGCAAATGGAAACATGATGTTCGTCGGTATGAAACCTGGTATCTGGCTGTTGACAGATTTGTAAGCCTATGACAAACAACACTTATTTATCATGTACATATAACACATACTCTTATGACAGATTGATACATATATATGTCACAGGGTGATGCCATACAGATCCTCGGACAACGAACCAATCAGGCTTACATAGAATCTATACTCAACGTTCCTAATTGTTACACTATATCCGAATACAGTTGCCCTGAATTGGATAGACACCAAAAGGTGCTAGAAAACAATTTCTACATCGATGTTGGCCTCAACTCCATTATCAGTCCACTTCCAGATACAGTGACTATACCAACTACTTGGTTTCGGTTTGTTTCCAAACCAGAACTGATAGATCTTGGAGAAACCCCACCCTATTTTCCAGGTACCAACATAATCCGTTTAGAATTTTTTTGTGGTTGCAACAATCAACTATTTATACAATTACCAATTTAGACTTCATTGGGGTGCTATCGAAGATCAGAGATTGTACAAAACAAGATGGTCAGTCCTTTATCCTTCTTATTCTTATAGATAACAGGTATTACTTATGGTATTCAACAACCATTTAAAACATGTTATTTTTTTATATACTAACAACATTATGTAAACAAATAACAACGGTAACGAAGTCGCGGTCAACCTATGGAAAAAATGCATTACCATTCCAACAAAATTCGATCGCAGTCTGCTTATTCCACTCCCCCGCTATCACAGTAGTAGTAGTCACGAATCTTAAATCCTCCATTTCGGCCGGTAAGATACATTTACTACACAAAAAAAATACACATAGTATGACATTTATTAACCCTTATATTTAAATCCATCCTTCCAGGAGTGCTACGTCATGGATCATCACATGGCACTCATGTATATGTGAATCCACAAATCCCAGAAACTACATCTCTTATAAACCTGTAAACTCTACATCTCATATATATCTTCTAAACACCCTTTACTCGAAAATAACACTTATAATTATTTCAATGTCACAACAGTTTTAGCGGTCCCATGCGTCCACAGTCAGCACCTTCAGGGATACCAACAACCTTGAAAGACATCAAATTGAAAACACGGTCGAAACTACTGGTAAATGATCTCCTACATAAGTCACATCCATTACACACATATTATAATACATCGGGTTATAATTGCATATCCCTAAGACAAAACATTTATGGTGAAAGCATCCATCACAGGCTTTGTGTTCCAAGACAATTGGTGTCAGATAACATGTCCAACCTGTAGAGATCCAATCTTTAAAAGGGGTCCACAGTGGTTTTGCAGCGCACACGCAGCCATTGAAAAACCATCACTAACGTGAGTACCTTTCTCCATTAATACAAAACATAAATACGTTAGCAAACATCCTAACCGTCAACTTCCATATGCAGTCACAAATTCAGTGTGACGATAACCGACACAACTACACATTACAAGCCATCATATTTGACACCTCATCTTGGAAACTACTAGGTCCTAATCTCGAGAACTCTCTGTCTGAAAACACATCCATTAATAGAAAGGTTCTACCAGCAGCTCTCACCCAACACAAAGGAGAAGTTAAAAAAAATGTCCATCCAGATGCTAAGAACATCCACTTTAGAAAACCTACGTTTCATAATAGTCGACCTTGAACTATCAAAAACCGTCTCATAAACAGCAATTCCAGCAACTCCGTCCCAGATTCCACCAACAAGATCTACATCACAACATACCTCACCTGACACACCGATATCAACAACACATGCCGCACAGAATCTGTCATTTAGTACAAACGGTATGTATCGTATGTTAATATACATATCTGTTAAGCCAAATCTATTTTTACAACATGTCTTTTTTAATCTTTCACAGATGACGCAACCCCATCCGAAGACGGAAAACGCACTCGAAAGAGATGAATCACCAAATACAGGCTCTTTCCCTCATGTTTGCTTCCTTTTTTTTTTGTACAAGATACTCTCTGAACAACAACGGTTTCTTCTCCGAACAATCTGTCACCATGTACAACCGTTTTTGGTTTTGAACTATCTATGACCACAACTATTTACAGTTTTTATGCAAATACAACAAAAATGGATAACACAGTTGCATTTAAAAAAAAATCATAAACATAAATTTATTAACCCATGCACTGTGTATCAAGATTTTAGAAAGCCAATTTTGTTCACCAATTGAACTTATATAAACCAAAAAAATCACCTTCCGATAAAGCCCATATCTTAAAATTATAAAGCAAACATATCTAATTTAAAATGGATAACGCAATTGCATTTAAATTTTTTTTTCGTAAACACAAATTTATTAACCGATGCACTGTGTACCAAAATTTTACAAAGCCAATTCTGTTGACCAATTGAACTTATATAAACCAAAAAAACCACCTTCCGATAAAGCCCATATCTTAAAATTATAAAAGGGATAATGACTTGATAGGGTAAGATACTTTTTGAAATGTACACATTTAGTCTTTATTCTTTTTTTTTTGTAAAATAAACCCTTATACTTTATTTTTTGTAACAATGCAATCCTTGTGACCGGCTATACCTGGTATACCGGTCATATACTGATTTTCTTTTAGGGAAAATGACTTGATAGGGTAAGATACTTTTTGAATTGTACACATTTAGTCCTTATTCTTTTTTTTGTAAAATAAACCCTTATACTTTATTAATATGTACACATTAGGTCCTTTTCACCGGACTCTACAGGTTTTGCTGATGTGGAAGCACAAGTGGCACTAAATAACAATTAATTAGCTTAGTCACCGGAGGTGGGTGATCCTCCAGCAACAAGAAAAGGGCGGCGACCCTTCTCTTTCTCGTCTCTCTTTGCCTGTTGTGTTTCTCCGATCTGTCTCTCTTTGCCTCCATCTTTGAGATATGTTGCCAGAAAAAGAAGAAAGAATCGACGAGGGGGCTACCAGAGCAGCTCCTCGCCGCCAACTATCGTCTCTACTTCCTCCTGCCTCCCCCTTCGACCTTGTTGTTTTTGCCATCATTCCTCCTTGCTACCAGTGATGTGTAGGAACACACAAAGGAGTCGCCGGAGATCGGGGTTCCCCCTCTTTTTCATGATGAATAAAAGTTGGAAAAATCTCGTTGTGGATATGTGGATGCCACCTGGGTATTTCATTTCAACAAAATAAAAGAAAGGGAAAATGACTTAATAGGGTAAGATACTTTTTGAAATGTACACATTTAGTCCTTATTCTTTTTTTTTTGTAAAATAAACCCTTCCACGTCAGCAAAACCTGTAGAATCCGGTGAAAAGGACCTAAGTGTACATTAATAAAGTATAAGGGTTTATTTTACAAAAAAAAAGAATAAGGACTAAATGTGTACATTTCAAAAAGTATCTTACCCTATCAAGTCATTATCCCATTATAAAACTAACATATCTAATTTAAAACACTACTGCTATACAAGATTCAAGTCCGAATATTTTAAACACACATACCATACATATAGTCAACAAATACATTCCATTATTAATACAAATTAATTAAAAAAAACACAAATCACAAAAAAAATTTACTTCTCCAATATAGTATTTAAATAGAATTAAAAAAAATAAAATAAAAACCATTGTTGCAAATATTCATTCCATCTGGCTTCCCCGCAAAAGCGTCCAAATTACAGCCCATACGACCCATCTCCGAATAGGCAACAGATAAATCCCATTATAGACTATAAATTGACCCAATGAAACCCAAATGAATTCAACAATTGGACTTATATAAACCAGTTACCAACAAAGCTCATATTTTATAAAAGCCCGTCACACGAACTTAAATAAAATATTAAAACGTTTTCTACTACACTCTATAATTCATACAATCCATTGTTAGCCACAAATTAATCCGAGAAAACTGAAATCACAAAAACAATTTCTTCTCTAATACAATATTTAAATAAAATTTAAAATTAAATGTTGACGGTTGTTGCAAAAATTCATTCCACCTGTCAAATATAATATAATAAAAAACACAAAAAAATTAAACACAACACACTATTCCCACCTACCACTTCACGGTGATCAATACACATCCAGCTTCCATAACTCCAGCCGACTTTCCATCACTTCCGAAATCATGAATCATTTAAGTTGGACAACCGAAGCGTCATCACCATTAATACACCATCTATAAATCTACTAACCCCATCATGATTCTATATCCCATCTATTCATACTATCAGTACAAAGAAAACCAGTGAGCTTGAAAAAATGAAACCAGCAGAAATGGAAAAGATCATCCAGCTCCTCATCGTCCAGGCGGAGGAGGAGAAAACAACATTGGCAAACGTCGAGAATGACTTCTTCTTACACCAACAGCTGAGGGAAGAAATAATGGAGAAGATGAACCGTCGCTCCAGGTATACAAACTATCTCCAGATCAAAGACATTCTCACCACCACCCACTACGACGGAGCAAAAGCAATCCAAACCATCTACAACTTGAAGAAAGAGACTTAATCGATCATCGGCAAGCTGAAAAAGGACATGAAAAAGATTCCAGAAGACGATCAGCCATACATGGACTGACGGGTGACGCGAAAACAACCACCTCTTTTGGTCTTTTGCACAACGTCAAAATGTAAACATGTTTAACAAATATATGGCATGGTTAACCGTTCTGCTTATGTTTACTTTCTAATTGTCACTATATACTATTCTAATTTTCAACACAGATATCCATACACATCAGTATATTACCGACATATTGAATAAACAAAATATATAACGCTTCTTTTAAGGCCCTGCACCAAAAAAAAAACTGACAAATATACTAAACACCCCACGATCTATCCAAATACATAGGTCATCATATACCTATCTAAGATTCTATCAGCCCACAAAACAAAAAATTTAAAATTATCTCATACCCATACATTTTCTATATAAAGCACTACTTTCTTTAAATCGCCAGCAAAGAAAAGTTGGAAAACATCATCACACAGCTAATCGAGCAGGCGAACACCATGAAGAACAACATCACTATGATAGAAACAACTTACGCCACCATCTCCACCATGAGACAAAACCTTCTCAAAGAATCACCATCGTTTCTGCAATACAGTCACTACGTCATCACGACGGAACTCATTAAAGATATCGATAAAGAAACGACTATCATGATAGACTCCTTCGAAGCGATGCATGAAAGATTCAACATCGCCATAGAAGCGTATTCGAAAATCCTGAAAGATCTTCCCTACATATAAAATCTATAAAATCTACAGGATAGCGAGTGTCCGTTTGTTACCGATATCGACTATGTAATCTTCCGTACGTTTCCATTAACATTACTAAACATATGTACAACGGTAAATATCCGTTTTTTGGTAATATCGACTATGTAATGTTTAATGTTTCATATGTTTCTACTATGTAATGTTTCATATGTTTCTATTAACGTTGCGCGCCGTCCAAATGTTAAAACGAACATATCTGACCCCGCGAAGCGGGGTGACTCAACTAGTTATTATAATAAATGAAACTTTCTAAACTCCTAAAAAATAATTTTATAAATTTGTAAATTATATTAAAAATATATATTAAATTAAAAACAAATAATATAAATAAATAAATAATTGTTATTGGTTTTTATTTTTTTTTACTTTGTATGGATTTCTTCCGTTGGTGCTTTATAAACTAAAACTAATCCAAAATCCAAACAATAATTTGATTTTGCTAAAAACTAATTAAAAAATACGGATGCAATTAACAAATATAGTTTAGGATTAGGGTTTTATGTATTACCACCAAAACCTACATTTTCCAAGTTTTTGGGTCAAGCAAAGCGAGTATTACAGGTTGAGTTGCATTTCAGTCTCTCCCTGGGGTTGCGGCGTCTACAAAATTCGGAGAGATGGGTTTTTCGAAAGGGCAACTTCTTGAACGCTTACAGGTTCGATTTTTCTTAACAAAATGCGTAATCTCCTGGATTCATCAACCTCGTCGTCCAATTCTAATTTTACTATCGACTGATAGAGTTTCGAATAAATTTGGGTTTAAAATCCCAGGTTGAAGCAATGAAAAAGCAACAGCCATTATTAATCTGCCAAAAAAGTAGTGCAAGATCAAACAACTTAAGGTTCTATCTTCACGGGCATATATGTTTGCACTTTATATTATGCTTCATTAGTGTGTTTTTGTTGGAGTCTCGTGAGTGAGAGCTTAGCTTACTCGTTTACAAACTCAAACTTCGTAGCTAGTATTAGTAGAAATCGACTACTGTTGGGCGTGAGCTAGTAACAAGATCTATAACCATTTTCCATGTGATAATCTTTCCCTTAATACAATGTAATTATTTTTCTTCTTCTATTATTATTAAGTTTTGTCCTGATAAATGAGGTTTTGTTTCCCACTGAGTGTGATCATGGCCTGACTATTTAACATTTGTAACTAGTTTTAAGTATGCTTGTTGGTGGATCTTATCAGTTGTTATATTCTTTAAGCAATAACATATCCATTGTATGTATCAGGCTCAACAGATAAAATTTTCGCAGTATGAGCATCCTGTAGTGATGACTGTTGAAGCCCAGGTAACTAAATCTAATGCAATACAAAGGCTGCGTTTTTACATGAGACATAACTGAACTGGATAAAGCTTTCTGGAGATATTTTCAATGGGCATTAACGTCTTTTGCATTTTCTGGGTAGATAGAACAAAATATTGCAATTTTTGCCTACAATACATGCCAAACGCACTGCAAAATCATGTTCTCTGTAACAAAATATTGCAATTTTCTTTAATTTGTTTTGTTTCTGTTTGTCTATCTCTTGTATAAGGCCAAGTATGTTGGACATATCAAAGGTGGATTGAGTAAAAACTTATTCCTAAAGGTATTATATTCAAATATTTTGGTTTTGGATTGGCATATAGTATCACTTTGTGTTCTATGATCTAATGCATGTGTATATGTATATATTTTACTTTTTTACATATAGGATAAGAAGCACAGATTTTATATTGTTTCAGCCTTGGCTGATACCACAGTAGACCTAAAAGGTTAGTTTGCTCTCCAATGTCTGACATTTGGTGGCTTTCTTATCCTTGTTGTTTTGGACACCATACTAATTATGTTACTTCCTCTGTCCCATGAAAAGTGTACTCACATCACATCTTAATATTTGGTTAAAGTTAAACAACTACTTCTTCCATTGATTTGTTTAAGAGTATAGCATCCTACTTTCATTTCTTCATATTGTAATTTGAAAAGTCTACTAAGTTGAATACAAAGCAATTTCACTGCTATTTTTTGAACTACGATATCCTAGTAACAAAGTTTTCAAAGTAGAGTGCCTTAATAAGGAGAAAAATGGATGTAGAATCTTATAATACAATGAAATGAAAGTAAGATGCTATAATATAATACACAAATAAATGCTATTTCTTGCATTTAGTTCTATTAATATAAGTTTTGACCACTAGTCAAAGCACCCTTCTGTCTTGAAAGCATATTCATAAAACAAAATTTGAATTTCAGATTAAGTAAATGCTGTGGACCAAAAAGAATAACATGAGTACTGTTTAGGGATAGAGGGAGATACAGTTTGTTTAGTTTTATATTATTTATTGCAAAAGTCATTAATATAACACTTTGTACTTTTCTGGATTTTTATAACACTCATTGTGGCTTTGAAGCTGAGCAGTTCTATCTCAAAGGCTTGGGCTTGGAAAAGGAGCGGTGAGAATGGCACCTGAAGAAGCAGTTGGAGAAATACTTGAGGTTCCTAAATGCATTTTTAATGTAATCTATATATAGATGATTTTTTTTTTTTTTTTTTTTTTTTGACTTAATGAAGAAATAACTAAATCATAGAGAAATTTAGGGAAAGGAAGCTTAACATTTTACAAACCTGCCTTCATTTATATGTTCCTTCCATCAAATATCTTTTACATTGATTACTTACACTCATTGGTCCAGGTGCCTTTAGGCTGTGTTACTCCATTCGCACTTGTGAATGAGTCAGCTAAGTGAGTTGGGTTGTTTTAATCTTGTAACAACTAACAAGACCATAAATACTGGATTCTCATAGCAGTTGTTTTGTTAATTTGATTTGTGAAGGCATGTTTCGTTGTTGTTGGATCAAGGTTTCAAAACTCAGGAGTGCTGCTTCTTCCATCCACTCTCCAATGATACAACCATCTGTAAGTGTCACCATTCTTAAATATTTTAGGCTTATTTATTGATAAATCTGGTTGCAGCCCTTCACATACAGGATCTTGAAAAGTTTCTCAAGTCAGTAGGAAGAATGGTTGCCTATGTTGATCTTGAGGTAAGAAAAGATTGGTTATTTGGTCCCTTAAAAATTTGATTCTAAGTAATTGTTGTTTCTAGGCTAATCCTTGTGTAGGGAAGGATCAACCTCCAGATTTAGCTGCTTTAGTTCCATCTGTCAACACCGATGTTATGGAGAAAACAGCTTCTTTGAAGATTGACAGCAAGCCAGTCTCTGCTACTGGTATTGTTACAATTCTTAGATGCTTTTTGTTGTTGTTGATCCTGGAAAGTTTTAGATTTTGTTAACCTTTTGATCTTTTTATGTGGCTGATACTATACTGATTGATGTAAATGTAATGTAGCCAAAGCATCAAAGGTTTCCAAGAAGGAGATAATGACAAACTCTTTTGCTGATCCTGAAAAGTTTATTCAAGAAATAGTAGAGAAAGCATCAGCCATTGTTCTTTCCGAGGTACTACTTACTACTAGTCTCTCTCTCTCTCTCTAATAAGTAATAAACTCTTTAACTTTATCTATCTATGTATCTTGAGATGTAAAAAATTCATGCAGATGAAAGATCAAAACATTAAGCAGCAGCATGGCGATGGGGAACAACTGGTATCCAGCCATCTAAAGAAGAATCTTAGCTTGGAGCTGAAAAATCTAGCTGTCAGTGTTTCTTTCTCTACTTGTCTTCCATGTCTATCTAGCACTAGCAACTCACACACACACACACACACACAAGTTTGAGTTAAAGAAAGCAACCGTGTCTGTGCCCAACTAAATCGGAATGGTGATTTTTTTAGTCTTTAAGAGTGGATCTACTTGTACAGCTAAGCTTGGACTTGGATGCATTGTGTCATTAAAGGCTACATTTCAATGAAAAATTTAACAAAATGGAGGAAATCATCATAATACCAAACCCAAACGCTACTTAACTCTATTGCTAGTCCATACAAGGCTGATGAAAAAATTAGACATTTTGATCCTATATACGTTTCTCAAATTCAAGTATGTTTCGTTCATGATGAATTGCTTCACATTATTAACGCGACTCTACTCGTTTAGCTCCAGATCACCTATCCATCTACATTATTGATGATATGAGATGGGGGCATTCATGTCTTTTGTTTGGTTGGGACAACAAATTGCCAGTTTTGTCCCATTGATTCCTTTCTAAAGACTCAATCTTGGCCATGTGGTTGAAGAAGTATAATAGGTGTAACATTGTCATTATTAATGCAATAAGAAGCAACTTAGCAAGTGTTGTTTTTCTTCCCATGACATCAATCAGCATGTGTCAAAAATTGAGTCACATTAATCTGCTATCTGTTGCTCTACATAAACTTGATATCCTTGTGTATGTTCCTTTCTTTGTTCATTCTCTTTAAAACCCATATAAATTATGTTATGAGAAATGATGAATTGGAAGAAAAAAACATGAAGGGCAAATAAAAATTTGTAAAAGGAGGAGGGAAAGCCTAGTTTCAACACCCATATATAGTTATAGTTATAGTTATACTAGACTCGATTCATCAAAGTACAATGCTGGCCTGTAATAATCTAATAGAGTGTTATGACGATGCTGTACTGCAAGTTATTTGTATAATCAATCATCTAGGCATCTATCTGACTTTTAGAATCTACCCAATATTTTTTGTGTTTGGAAATATAATTTGGTGTAATGTAATCTGAAGAAAAAAACTAGTGTAGGATGATGCTATAAAAATCAAATTATGTTGCTATTTTATTTTTTTGCATTTAACCCCTTAGTTAAATAAATACTTATTATTTGGTTTGGACTTTGGTGTTTCAGACGATGTTTAAAAATACAGCCTACACGGAAGGCTTTGTTGCTGGTACCCACTGCCCAGCAAAAAAAAAGTGATGGAAAGGGAGGTTTAATTGTTTGTCAAATCATGGATGCTGGTTGCTAATCTCACAATCTCTTGCTTTTCTTTGAAACATTTCACAGCTTGATGGGTGGTTATTATTATTTTTCTTTTTTCTTTATACGTTTTTGAGGATTTCTTAGTCCAGATACCGCAACTGCAGTTGGTTGTTTGTTTTTGAACACCGCAATTGTTGAGAGCACCAAGAATCCTGTTATTGGAAACTAAAATGTTTACTACGTCTTGTACCTTGTTTAGTACTAGTTGCATGCACGTACTTCCATTATCTATCTACATGTTATATTCATCCCCAAATGCTAGTTGGTACCTTAGATGCATGTTTTATTTATTTATTTATTTATTTTTATGACGAGGCATTACATCATTATTGCACATACGAGATAAATATCAAAAACAGGTCTCTACCCTATCTTCTTGGATGGAAACTAAAACCTGCAACTTCTGTCCTACTAACATCAGTTAACATCGATACACACAAGGAATGTCAAATACACTACACAATGTTTTTTCGTGTATTAATTAATATGGCTTTAGTTTAGAGAACTTGAGATTAGTGTGTGAGTGTGACAAAACTGGTATTTAACTTCATTCAGACTTGAGAAACTAGTTTGAGACAAACTAAAATTTCAAACCTTACATGTCTGGCTCCACAAAGTTTGCCATGTATTTTATGGGTCTCGGACTCTCGGGTTTATATTCTGGGCCACCACACCAAGGTTGGTTGGTTCATTAGTTGGGATTTATTCTTGTACCAAAAAAAAAAAAAACGTTTATACATATTATTGCAGTTTTTCACCAGAATTTAATACATTGCTTTTCAAAATTTTGGACCAAATAACGATGAAACAAGGTCATTTTTGTTTTTTTCCCCTTGTCATACGTGCAGCGTGCTACACCCAAAAACTTGTACATATCAAGTGCGGATGGAGTGTTTAATGATAGATTTATACTTAATATATGTTGAAAGTAAATACGATAAATAAAATCACCTTTGGTCCTTCAACACAAACATTCAAATCCCATTTCTTTGTCATCCATTTGTATCTTGAAAATTTTGTCCATATAATAAAATTCAAATTTCCTTATTTGGTAATTATGGGTTTCTTTGTAGAATCTACAAGTATGACATTGAAGCTTTTCCACATCCATTCTCTAGTTGTAACACCCAAGCTTTTTTGTTTGTTGGACTTAATATGCCATTTTAAGCAAAAACATTGAGAGATATGTAATGATTTTGATTTAATTGGAAGTATAATGCCTTAATGAGGAAATATAGATACTGGGGTCAACTATTGAAAGAATCTAACACAATTTGGTCAAATTAACAACACCCAATGAAGGTATAAACCCATAATACCTTTTTTGATGATGTGATTTTTTGCTAGGGTTTTATAATTGGGGATTTGTTGGGGTTATGATCTAATAAAAAAACTTCAATTTATGTGGAATTAAAGAGTTATTAACCTACAGAGGTGAAGATCATTTTAAAGGTTTAGCTATCTCTTACATATATTCGATGTGATAAGAAACAGAAATTGAGATGTAATGAAATTTAAAAAAAAATGATGTTTTTTGAACTTTTTTTATGTGTTTTTTATGAAAACCGTAAGAAATATGATTGGTTGTTTTTCTGAAAAAAGAATAAAACAATGGTTTTTCAAATAAAAACTTGAAAACTTAATGATTTTTATGATATTTACCTAACTTAATATCATAGTAACCTAGAAAATCTATAATAAGGATAAAATCGAATAATTTCTAACAGATATAAAGATATTAATGGATAAAAAACATATTTATGTAAAACTAAATCTCCCTATATTAATAAAAAAAAGTTTTGTGTTGTCATATGTCAGTCTAATACAACTCCTTATTAATTATTTGCCACGTGTCAGTCTAATAGATGTGTATTAATTTAATTTTGGTTAAATTACACGAATGGTCCCTATGGTTTAGAGTAATCTGCGTGGTTGGTCCCTAACAAAGTTTTTTAACTCGGTCAATCCCTATTATTTGTTTTTGTTGCGTATTTGGTCCCTATTTGACTTAAAATGACTATATTACCCTTATCAATTTCTTTTTTATTTACTTATCATTTGTCTTATTTATAATTTATAAAAAAAAAACAACAACCACCTCTTCCTAGTTACCCCCGCTCCAACCTAACTTTTTCTTATTTGATACATTCTCTTTCTTCTTTAAACTAAACTAGACAATTAATATCTCTCAACTCAACATGAAGGAAAGAACTTGTAACACCCGTTTTCCTGGATGAATCGAATTAGAGTTTTAAGGAGTCAAAAGGTTGGATTTTGGAAGAAAATGAACCTCACGACGTGAGACATAGAGGCTCACGACGTGAGATGGGCTAAGATGAAAACTTTTGTTTGGGACTGGTCTCACGACGTGAGACATAGAGGCTCACGACGTGAGAACTGATGTAGCCCAAGCCCATGATCTTTTAGGGTTTCCTTCATATTTAAGCACCTCTAAACCCATTTTAGGATTCATTATCAACCTCCAAACCCTATTTCACCTCAGAAAACCCTAGCCTTCATCACTTGCTTGATTCTTTGCCATTTTAGAGCAATTCTTGGTTTAGAGAAGAAGAGAAGAAGAAGAAGAAGAAGAAGAATGTAATCTTTTGAAGAGGCTTGCAAGGAATCATCATCATCATCATCATCATCACCTAACATTGTTTTTGGATCCTTGTAAGTGTCAAAGCTTCCTCCTTTATTGTTATTTGTAGCTAGATCTAAGTTTTGTCCTGCATTCCTGATTGGTTGAGCAAGTTTGAATGAATGAAAACCATAAAGTTGGCAACTTTATGGGTTATAATGGCATTAAGAGTGTTATGACGTTTAGATCTAGTGAATGGTTGGGTTTTGGAACCTTGCATGAAAGTTGGATGTCATTTTCTTCAGTTTTTGACCCAAATGAGATCTAGACATGTATTTGACATATATGTTTTAAAAGCATCGACTTTCAAGTGTATTATAGAGTTATAAGACCTTCTGGAAAGTTAGAGTTCAAAGCTTAATGGATTAAGGACTTAAATGTTGAGTTTTTGGCTTCAGACTGTGCTCACAACGTGAGACATAGGGTCTCACGACGTGACGATTGGATGATCCCGTTTCTGATGAGCTTCTTGGGGCTCAAGACGTGAGAAAAGGCTACTCACATCATGAGGTCAGCTCAGGTGAGTTCCTTGACTGAGTTGGCGAAGTTGAGTCGAGATGAGTTGGAATCGGACCAAGTGAGCTCTCATGACGTAACCAAGGGCTGGTCACGACGTGGGGATGGATATTTGACATTATGGGATGTTGAATTTTGACTTTGACCGTTGACTTTGGCTTAAGTTGACTTTTTGTCAAATTCTTTTTTAGAAGGTAGACTTATGGTTTACCTTGTGTAGATTGATAGGAGGTGTTAAGCACCCATCATTTGGCAGGAGAGCAGTTAGTTGTGGTCGGCTCGGTTTTGAGCTGAGTGTTAGTAAGCTTTGTGATTCATCATCAGCCTCCAAACCCTCTTTCACCTCAGAAAACCCTAGCCTTCATCACTTGCTTAATTCTTGGCCATTTTGGAGCAATTCTTGGTTTGGAGAAGAAGAGAAGAAGAAGAAGAAGAAGAAGGTGATCTTTTGAAAAGGATTGCAAGGAATCATCATCACATCATCACCTAACATTGTTTTTGGACCCTTGTAAGTGTCAAAGCTTCCTCCTTTATTGTTATTTGTGGCTAGATCTAAGTTTTGTCCCATTTTCCTCCTTTGTTGAGCAAGTTTGAATGAATGGAAACCATAGAGTTGGCAACTTTATGGGTTATAAGGGCCTTAAGAGTGTTATGGAGTTCAAATCTAGTGAATGGTTAGGTTTTGGAACCTTGCATGAAAGTTGGATGTCCTTTTCTTCAATTTTTGACCCAAATGAGATCTAGACATGTATTGGACATATATGTCTTAAAAGCATAGACTTTCAAGTGTAATATAGAGTTATAAGACCTTCTGGAAAGTTAGAGTTCAAATCTTAATGGATTAAGGACTTAAATGTTGAGTTTTTGGCTTGAGACTGTGCTCACGACGTGAAACATAGGGTCTCACGACGTGAGGATTGGATGATCCCGTTTCTGATGAGCTTCTTGGGGCTCACGACGTGAGAAAAGGCTGCTCACATCGTGAGGTTAGCTCAGGTGACTTTCCTTAACTGAGTTGGCTAGGTTGAGTTGAGATGAGTTGGAATCGGACCGAGTGAGCTCTCACGATTTGACCAAGGGCTGGTCACGGCGTAAGGATGGATAGTTGACAACATGGGCTGTTGAATTTGACTTTGACCGTTGAATTTTGTCTTGGTTGAATTTTGGTCAAATTCTATTTTTAGAAGGTAGACTTAGGGTTTACCTTGTATGGATTGATAGGAGGTGTTAAGCACCCATCATTTGGTAGGAGAGCAGTTAGCTGTGGTTGGCTCGGTTTTGAGTTGAGTGTTAGTCGACTTTGTGATTCAGGTGAGTCTCCTCACTGTATAAGGGGGTCGAAGGCACCAATGCCGACCCATTGACTTATGTTATATAGGAAGACCATGTGGTGGCCCTTGACATTTGTATGAAAGACATGGTGGTGGCTCCCGACAAATTGTATGCAAGATTAGGGATCAGACCATGGAAGATATATGTAGTATGCTCATTGTCTCTGTGATACTTGCATGAAAGACCAGGAGATGGCTCTTGGCACTTGTCTGTAAGACCCAGGGTTTTAGCCGCCGGCCTGGCAAGGAAAGACCATGATATGACTCATGGGATAATCACAAGACTATGGTTGGCACATAGAAATCTCTATTGTATGTATGGTATGTGGTATTTTGGGGAACTCACTAAGCTTTGTGCTTACGGTATCATATTTATGGTTTCAGGTACTTCCGGTTCGAAAGGGAAAGGCCCGACGTGACTGTTGGGTTTTAGTATACTACAACATCCTATGGTGCACATACAACCCTAATTGCTTTGGATTTATGTTTTCTCTAATTATACATGCAATAATGTTTCCAAAGCGTGAAGCCTACAACTAGCATACAATTGACATAAACGACATAAAAGTGAGTTATAGAATTACCTCTTTGTTGTAGCTTGTAGTTTTGGCCTTTAAGAACTTAACACCCCAAGTGTGATGCCTCAAACGGTTCACAACACACCTAGGACAAAGGAGAACTTGAGAGAGATGTTGCTAACTCCAAAATCGGCTCTAATGAGCTCCAAGAACTCTAGTGGTCGATTTTTGGTGCCAAGGGAGTCCTTTT